ATTTTCTAAATTTTTTAGGGGACCCGAGGGCCGGATAGAATGGCCTGGCAGGCCGCATCCGGCCCCTGGGCCGCATTTTGCCCACCCCTGCTTTATAACATAAGAGAAACGTCTGTCTGATATGATATAGTACAAAGTAGCCAAACTGTTTGTCAGAATTTCTGATGATGCTCTGAAAGACTGGGACACCTTGCAAACAGCCCTGAAATCAAGTACATTTCTGTTCAATTGAGACTGCATGAAACTTTGTGTCTCGAAGCAAGCATGTCAGTCTGTCTCAGACACCCGGGCATCAGAGTCTTTGGGTGGACATTGGATGAAACAGAACACCTTGGCAAACATTTAGAGGATCCATCCAGCAAAGGCAAGATGATACCACTTGATGAGGAACTTGTAGAGGTTGTTTCTGTTTGGCTGATAAACTGTCATCAGCCAACCCTGAAGTGACTATATGTAGCTGCACACATAGAATTACATGAGTACAGGCTATCATATGGCCCAGCAGGCCAAAGCAAATTTTCACCATAGTTCCTGGGTGACACCAATGTGAGACATGGTGTGATTCATGGTCAAGCTGTTCTTCAGAGGAAGGAGTGCTGCAGGACGTCGGAACACCTCTATGAATTCTACAGACCGAGTAAAGTCTCATTAGAGATCTAGTTTGGAGAACAACTATAGAACTGCAAAAGTCCTGTTGAACTGACTGACTACAATCAGCTATTGGTCTAGACAGGAAAACACAAGGAATCCTTGCCTCCTTAGGTAAGTAGCTACTACAGTCATACATTATGCTGGAATTTAGGAAAATTCAAAGGGAATTAGGTAACAAGAAACAAACAACTAAATCCTGTAAATACAACAGGCCAGTGGTACAAGGATTGTAAACTGATAATAATGTCCATTGACCATGAACTATATGCTCAACTACAAAACAGGACATCAGTCCCATCATTTTGCCTTCTGCTTACATTATAACAAGCATTAGTTATCTGCATATCTGTTAAGTGCATAAGCTGATTACTCTTAAGTGCACAAGAACAGACACACTGTCTAGTTCAGTGGTCACCAACCTGGGGATCCTGATTTACAGGTAGATCTCAAAACCTCTTTTGATAAATCCTTGGCTGGGGGGCAGCTGGGCATGCGTGCACATGCACACCCACTGCCCCCAGCTTCAGCAGGCCAATATGTGGGGTAGGGAAGGGGCAGGAGCCAGATTGAGCCCCCATGGTAAGCAGCTGACCGTGCGGCCCAGCCAGGAGCAGGGGAAGATAAGTGGGGCCCCAGCCCGGCTGGGTGGTGGGAGGATTGGAGCCTGTGGGGGGTCCTCTAAGGGCA